CATGCTTCCACTCATCATTTCAGCCTTTATGGTTGATGTAGACACTTGTTAGCCTATCACATCCTTTTATATGTAGAGTGAACAGAAAAGAAAGTGTGGCACCCATGAAATAGTGTTTCAGATTTTACTTTGGTTGACATGTTGTACATGTTCCCATACCAGGATGAGTATTCGAAGAGTCGGTGAACCAAAATTGTTGGATAAGTTTGCACTCCAAGTACGTCTTGCCAGTAGTAATATTTGTCAAACTATTATTTGACTTTATCTTGTCTTGATCTTCGTTTCTGCTAGATTAGAAACAATCTGCTTTAGTGACGATCTTGACCTCACTTCAACTAGTCTTCGATTCTGTTGAAGTCTTTTTGTTCTTGGATTAATACAAATAATTACAAGACTTTTACAAAGAAAATTTCTATCTTTTCTATTTTGGAATATAAGCTATAGACCGGATTCCAGTTATAGAATATTTATGAAGAAGAACATCGTTTTTAAAATAGCTTAAAATAATATGTGGGTTCTTGATAAAACAAGATTGGTGGCTATCAATAAAGGTTAATAAATTCTTCCATAAGGATGGAGAATGATCAAATCTAAGATTTGATCTCACATTTTATTTGAGTTATAGATCCAATAGTGCCTAAGATCCGAACATTTAAACTTTCTAAAGTTCGGATGCTAATCCATATGTTTCACACACGATTAATGTTGTATATTAAGTATGAGTATTACAAGGAAAGAAATAAGAATTTCTTTCTAAGTGTTGAATTGGATTCTCGTTATATCATTCACAAATCCGATTGTTGAGACCAACACTTTCCAAATGAACAAAATCACCGGCTGGGACTTACTGATGGTTCTTTTCTCAACGATGTTAAGCCATACAGCCATCTTGTGGGATGACTGGTCTATCTGGATGTAACACCACCAGATCTGGTTTATGTTGTTCATATACTTTCATAATTTATGTATCAGCCTCGTCACCAACGTTAGGAAGCTACACTTCAAGTGGTCTGTTATTTGAAGGGTAATTTAAGACAAGGAATTCTTATTCGCTCGGACAGTGACTTAACCATGGCAGGTTGGTGTGATTATGATTGGGACCTTTTCACTCTAACTAGACGGTCATTTACAGGTTGGATTATATTTCTTGGCGATTCTCCAATTTCATGGAAAGCGAAGGAAAAAAATCGTGTTCCTTTCCTTTACTGAATTAGAATATCAAAGAACGGCCTCGATCACATGTGGGTTGAAGTGGTTGAAATGACTGTTAATAAGCCTTGTTGTTCGACATCTAAAAGTTGTCCCATTGTTTTGTGATAACCAATTTGCGCTTCATATTGCTAAAAATCCAGTTTTTCACGAACGTACCAAATACATTGAAATAGATTGTCATTTTGTGCGTGACACCTTCAAGAAGGCTTGATCTTTCCATCCTTTATAAATACTATCATGCAATTAGCAGGCTTCTTCATGAAGGCTCTCAGGCAGAAACTATGCTATTTCCTACTTAACAAGTTGGGCATTTCCAATCTCCATTCTCCACCTTGAGGAGGTGTTGAAATATATGTCATACTATCCTCCCCATATAAATAAGGATATTATCCTAATATAGTTGGGATAAGTTTGGACTTTATTGATAGAGATCCCCTTGCCCTTATCTCTTGACTTGTTTTGATTATTTCATTTTTTTGTCCGGTCTTCTCTTTGTATAAATAGGAGATCCTTGAATAATAATGATAAGCATAAACTTTGACCCCTACAATTTTGAACAAAACTAGATAAGCCGTTAAGATTAATATGAGAATGTGATGACTCAAAAATAATTCCGAAAGAGTCAGATAAACCAGTTTATATATTTTTTTACAAAAATATAATTAAATAAGTTCTTTACTAAAAGAACTTAGTGGCAGCCCACATTATTAGAGGTTCCACAAGTTCTATAGCTACGGTAATGTGGGTGATGATAGATGAAGTTGATGATGACTCTACTACCACCTAATGGTAACTACCAAGTGTTCTACACACTTGACTAACCTTTTCATATTATTTTGTAATCTTCTCTGTTATAAAGACTAATTCTACTATCTTAATATATTTTTAGGTAGTGGAATATATTACATATGTTATATTCTTTTTAAAGTAAAAGATTTTATAGGCCATTAGTACGTAAGCAAACCCAACCAATTTATAGAGCAAGTAAGGAAAATTTATCCGACCCATGATAAATATACTTGAAAACTATTGTTTTGTTTAGAGCACGTAAGTCGTTTAGATTTGCTAAATTAGGTCTGTAGGACAAAAATAGGCTAAGTCGAGTCCGTGTCTAGTTCAATCCCACAAATCACCTCTAGTTCAACTTCATCATCGTTTTTTTATTATTTGAAAGAGAGGTAAAAATATTAAACACGCAATTTAATCCATTTTGTATAGATATACTTAAAAACTATTGTTTTGTTTTCACTATACATGAGATGCATTAACCTAACAAATGGATGTTAAGCCAACTAAATTGCTTTTCATTTAAGCAATTTGTTCAAGGTTGTATACATCTTTAGTTGTTAGCTTATCGAACAACACTAGTTTCAATAGTGGTAGTCTTATCTCGAGATCAGATACTTATTCGTTTGAGAAAGAGTGGAAGACAATAGTCACTATAGAATACGTCAAATCCTTGTGACATGTCACTCAATCCACTTACTAAGTGGTACCACCCAAACTATTTCTTAACTATTACACAAGTCTAATGTCATTGATGACATGTAAAGTTGTAGTTATGCCTTGCCTTTATGCATTGGTGAGACCAACCATTCATGATATTATCTAAAGTTGTTATTCGCAATATTATTAGTTGACCCACTACTCATATGATTAATTACATAGAACCCCTAAACCCCATTAGAATTTTGATAGATGATTTTACCATTATCCCAATATATATATATATATATATATATATATATATAATTAGATTTTCATATTCCCTTGTGCCATATTTTTTATACATATTATTTTAAATAAGAAAAAGCAGATAACAGAATAAGAACACATCACTTTACAGGGATTTGTGAAATCGAATATCTTAATTCTAAAATCAAAGATGCTTTAAAAAAATGTGTCGTCATTAAATATGGGCCACATTCATATCTTATTTTATGACAAGATAAATATAAAACATGTTTTTTTTACGATGATCTTGTAGTTAGGTTTAATTTTTTTTTAAAGAAATTTTAAAAAATAATAAATATTATCACAACAAACCATTCAAAATGTCACTCTAAAAATTGTTGGATTTTATGACTTCAAATTTTTAAACATGTTTAGTTTGTAAAACAAATCATCATAAAAAAATTGAACTTTAAAATAGGTTATCATAAACATCAGTTATATTTGCCTTTAGTCAAGGCCAGTCCCAGACATATACCTCATCCGTTACTATTTGTATCATTTGCAATGTGTATATATAACGGTAACAAACATATTTTTCTAACAACTATTTTTACACTATATATTAACAATTGAGTTTTTACCCAACATACTTATTCTTACTCTTCCAATTCATTTGTCAAGAAAAGTTTTCCAAAGATTCTTCATTCAGTTCTAATTCTCGTCCTTGTGATACTTATGCTATTAATAATTTCTTTTAGTAATCTCCTACATGATGAATTCTAAATTTTCTTGAGCATGTTTGTACTTATGGTTCTCCCACTTCTCTGAGTTTCAATATTTATCAGTATAAATGGATTCTAAATTTTATCTCGTTGTTTGATAGTTACAATATGTCGATCCTTGCAAAAATTGAGTTTGTGACCCTTGACGTGAATGGAAAGAATTGCATGTCATGAATTATGGATGTCAAAATGTACCTCGAGTATATAGTCATTTTAGACAGGAAAACAATCAATACTCATCGCAAGACAAACCGATTAGCTTTTTAAATTATTGTAAAAAGGTATTTACAATTTTAGAAAAGATTAATTTATATTAATATATCGTCCTAAACCTGTCATGTTTAATTTATATTTTTTTTTCATAAAAATAAAATATGCATGTCACCATTATATAACAATAACACACTTTTTAAAATATAAATGATTTTAAAGTTAGAAACTCGATTTTGTTGTCTTAATAAAGTAATTTGTTCTTATTCTATTCTCTTGTTTATTTCAAAGAATAAGTTGCTTTCGATGTCGCTTCTTCTAATATCCACTGCTTTTTTGGTGACAACAAATATGCTCTACAACTTGCTATCTTATAAGGAACATATTGAATTAGACAGTCATTTTATACTAGAGAAGTTTTAGACTAAGTCCATCTTGAGGGGAAGTTCTAAGACTAAATAAGACGGGCATTTTAGTAATTGTTACTTCTGTAACCAAATTCTAGTTTGGCTCTGCCGTCACTCCACGCCTCACGCCATTTAGAACCTCGCATGTAGGGAATGAGATAATGAAAATTAATGTAGTGAGCCAATATATACAGGGATAAAAATAACATGTCTCATTCATTTCCTACCAATAAAATTAAAACACGTCAGATTTTTATTTATTTTAAATTTATTTAATTCATATTTACTTTCTCTCTCTGGTTGCATATATCTATATGATTGATGGATATATATGAGACAWGAAAWTTTADGATTATCCACAATACGAAATCTATTAGAGTGAAGTTTTTTCCTATTTAGCTCCCTACAACAATTAAAAGAGTCAATGTAAATGAGCTCGATCGGCCATTGAAATGTTTGCATAATGTAATATCGTAAAAAAACAATTCTTATCATTATAGTTGTAGAAATATAAGAAAAACGAAACAATTAATCGTTCATTTTATTGTTTCATTTTTCAAATACGATTATAAATAACATGAAACTCTCATCTTGGCACATCTAGCGTTTATTTAGCATTTTAATGAATAAAATGATTAATTTGCAACGAAACTTAAATAACAATATGAGAAAACAGCTCATAAATATAGTAATAAAATTCTAAAACATTAACCTCTAGCAAAATCAAAAGTATTATTGATGGATTTCATTGGAGATACATTTGACGAGATACAACAACAGACTTACAACATCGTAACAAGCAAACACCCAATAAGCATAACAAATCCTTTTTTCCTCCTTTTATTAAACATAAGACGATATTATTTAAGCTGAAATTTGTGCGACCACATATCATTTTTCATCATCGTCACTTTTATCATCATTAATCTCATTGAGAATCGCCATGAGTGCAACAATAAAGGCGTGATCAACGTTTGGATACACCGTAATGGTATACGTGTCGATTCCAAAAGCAATGCTTTCAACGGTCTGTTTCTTGTTCATCTATGATTTTACCATATAGCTCGATCAGGGTTCAAATGGCTTGTACATCATGCATGAAAAGTAGTACCAACAGACTTACCTTAGAAGGTAAGAGTCATCATTCTCACTTACCGTGCCGGTACAATTCTCGGTCATATCAATAACATAGAGTATAAGTGTCTTTTACCCGATAAGCGGTTAACCGGGTAAAAGTCACCACCCTCATTTACGAGGTAAGATTCCTGGATAAAAATCACTTGTCCCAAAATCACACGTCTCATTCATGTTCCACCAATGAAACTAAAACCCATCAAATTTTCATTTATTTTAAATTTATTTAATTCATTTACTTTCTTACTCTACGTACGTGTATTTATATGATTGGTGGACATGTATAGTACATAAACATGTGGGACATATGATTTTTATCCAAGATTCTCCATGAGCAAAATGACACAGTAAAATTGTTGATAAAGACTATCATCTCTGATCGAATAAGCATAACTTACCCGATAAAAAGCATAAAATTGTTTAGTTACCTCGTAAAAGACCGTAAATGCTTAGTAAAAAGATGTTGTCTTTACCTCTGCAATGATAGTTGTAGTCTCTCCAGCATAAACAGCACACCGTCTTTCAAACCARTTGCCTTTWACTTTGAAATCAGCAACATCTTGCCTTCTATTGGAGGCCAAGAACACATCAAGTGAAGTCTTGAATTGGGTTCTAGATGATTGTTTTGCAGTGAACACATGATCTCTAGGGTCTGTGCTATCTCCTCTAAAACATTGCCATCTTTTACGACCACCTATTAGCTGATACATATTAACAAAACATTAGTTTAGAAAGTCAGCTCCATCAGTTTAACTCACTCGATAACATAACTGCTCAACCGACATCACGAATACATAGTCGTTCGGTTGTCTATCGGCAAAGTATCCTAATGAGAAGTTTCTACAACTCAAATCAGTCAAGAAATCAACAAAACTAGTGGTTATGAGGAAATGCAGTACAACAAAATGAACCTTTTAGAATGTCCTATCGTTATTAGACAACCCATATATAATAAAACTTTAAATTTAATAGGGTTTAACGATTGTACATCCTATACAATGACGTTAGAATAAATTGTCATGGCCAAATTATGCGATCTCAATTATTTTTTTATATGGCATTTCTAAAATTGTGTCCTAATTAATAAATATTACATCGAAATAGATATATTATATTATTTTTAATTTTTTGCTGTTGAATTTTTTGGTTAAATATTTCATTATGATACAAATGTTTTATACGTATATTTTTAAGTTTCACTGACCAAAATATTATTTAAATAGTTTCAACGTAATTTACAATTTAAAAACAAAAAATAAATAAAGTACTATCTTAATACGAAATATTAATTATCTATTAAATTTTAGTCCATTTATAGTAATTATAAATGATGTAAACTATTGGATTAAATAACACTGTAACATTAATCATCGGATAAAGTAAAGATAATCAATATGTGAAGGACATGACCTTTTTTTGGAAAGTGACAATACGATTGCCGACGACGTCGACTAAGAGACGTTTACCATGAAAGCTCAATAACTTTCCTCTAACTTTGAACATCAAGTTGCCGTTGATATCAGTCACACCAAAGTTTCCATCAGAAAGAGTTAGTAGTTTCTTTCCGTTCAACATATCTATAGGATATGGAGATACGAATTGTGAACTCACAACACATACTGGTTTGACCTGAGTTTGTGACATGCCGCTCAATTGCTCTGTTAACAAAATTGCTACAATTAAATACAAGTTTTCTTGTGTAGCATATGAGTCGAGTTTGACAYATCGTTCTATTTATTATATGCATAGAAATATTCGAAACACGTTTTAAAATAAAAAATATAATAAAAACGATTCCCACTACAAGAAAATAAGAAAACTAAAGGAGGGTATCCCTAAAAATTTCAATAAGAATATATAATCTTTTTTGGGGGCAATGTCAATTCAAAAGGGGTCTACAACTCGAATAATTGTTATTTGACTTAATTGCTTGAATTCCATATTAATCATGTGTATGTAAAAAWTATATAAAAACCTATTACAAAATCTTTATCTATAAAACCAGTTATTATATATTTATATATTGTTGATAAATGTATACTACTTAAAATTCAAGTGTACTTGTTGAAGCTGCATAAGTATAACTTCTTAAAACTTAATATTTGAATCTATATAAATAACTCATAAGCATATTTAAATAATGACATACTTTACTTTAATATTTTGAATTAGACTATCGGTTATTTTTAAATCAAGAATATCAAGAAAATATCTATATTATATCATAAAACATTTTGGATGACTCTTCAATTATTATGCGTCAAATACCGTTGTTCAATGCATATTATTTAAAATTCAAATGTACATATTAATAGTATATGCGTTCAACTTCTTACAACTTCATGAGTAAATTCATATTACTAATTGAAAAACATATTCAAACATGATAAACACCKTATTTTAATTAAAAATATGACCCCTTTATTTATAGAATCTAAAATATCATAAGTATAGTTAATATTTTAATTAAAAACTAGCATTTTCTTTTGTTTAAATTCATACTTGTTATGATGAAAATCCACCTGTATTTGATGTCACATCACYTGGTAATTGAGGKCAAGAGTTGACGACGATGACATTGAAGGCGACACTTGGACTTCGGACAATTGACGAGAGGTTGATGACAAAGGGAGTGGCAACGATTACATGCACACTYGCAATGGCGTTGAGAACATCAGCGACCCACTTAATTGCTCAAGCAAAGACTTTGCCTCACGACCTGGATGAACCAACTYTGGTATCTTTAAGATTGTAACATCCCATTTTAAAAGGTTAGATAAAATATTTAGATGTTTGAAAAGTTTGGWGTATAATTGTTTGATAGTGAAAACCATGGGGTTATAATGTCCTTCCCTTAATTTYGTAATAATATAAATAGGGGTTTTAAAAGAAAAGAAAAATAAAATAATGGAATTGAAGAGAGGAATTGGRRRARGRARRARRWKG